AGATTATTTACATTTTACTCTAATATTGTACAGCAAAAGATTTAAAATATCTCGTAAAACATTCATTTTTCGATGATTTTGCTTCAATGTTTTTTATATAGAATAACTAGAGGCATCGTTTGATGATACTAATTTTGGCATACTGATGCATTAACACATTTGCAAAATTCAGTAGAATTTTATTAAGTCCTTTTATATTCTCTTTTTCATAGCAATCAATCTCACATGTTATTCTACGTGCAAAAGTATTAAAATGTAGTTCTCGGAAAATTAATATTTTACAAAATTTTTTATATATTTCGTGTCTTATACTATCAGAATAAAATATAAAATATATCGAAAAATGTTCGTTTTTTGATGGTTTTACCTTAGCACTTTTATATGTAAATTGACTTAGGAAATTGATTTATATTATAAAAAATCATATATTCCATTTAAAAAATAAAATTGACTTTTAAATCTTCGAAATTCCTCTATCAATGAAGAAAGCACTTGCATTATGTAACGTCCCCCTCAAATCACGCAAATTATATACACAACACTTTTCCCCAAAGCATATAAATTAGAAATTATTAAAAGTGTTCAAGTCAGGTGATTCATTTTATATATTTACATACATATTTGCTGAATTCCGTTTATCAAGTTGACAAAATAAATCTTGCTGCGGCAGTTCCCTCGCGTGAAATTCAACTGTCATGCAATGTAGTTATCACAAGTAGTCAGGTTCCAACCGAACGATTATCATCAAGCACTTCAATACCACTCATTTAATGCGAATCACACGTGGATAGATCGTGAATTGTACGCATACAGCAATCGTATGTTCATCAACGATTCATTGACGTAACAGTCCCGTGACATATTAGGTCTGTTCGTTTTCGCTGCACCGCTGAACTAGTGCAATAAGTTGCAGCGAGACAAGAGGTCTGTTCGTTTTCGCTGCACTGCTGAACTAGTGCAATAAGTTGAAGTGAGAAAACATATACTTGTCTCGCTTCAACTTACTGCACTAGTTCAGCGGTGCAGCGAAAACGAACAGACCTAAGTATATGTTTTCTCACTTCAACTTATTGCATTAGTTCAACGGTGCAGCGAAAACGAACAGACCTATTGTCATCTAACCATAAAGTGACTTCAATTTTATGGCGTCATGCCTTATCAGCCACTGATTAAATCGAAGCCTACTAAAGGTCTACCTTATCGTTGATAAGTTCTGATGAAAGTCTGCTTTCCGGATTTTAAGTATACTTGGTACAAAAATTGCTGTCATTAATAATGCGTGAAACGTATCATCATTCAAGCGATAGTCCCGGTTTTTTATAAATTCACGTTTAACATTTTATAATAATATTCATATACAGTTTTAAAAAATGGTCTGTTCTTTTTAGCTGCTGAATTGGTATAATAAATTAGAGCGAGACAGAATATACTTATATCACATATATTTTAACAATGCAGCTAAAATGAACAGACCATAAGAAATGCCCAAGCAGGTTAGCTGCACTCGAAAGCTGGCTTATGAATTGTAAAAAAGAAAGCAGGTTAGTACAAAATGACGTGTGAGGTATAGTTTGGGTACTCATGGTCATATATTAGAATTGGCATAATAATAAAAGTTAGTTAGTAACTGACAAGTACGTTTGTAAATAAGTTTGTAATGATAAATCATTCACAGGTGGAAACAATATGGTGCTGATAAATGTCATATATGATTTATTATAATATAAATCGATTTCCTAAGTCAATTTACATATAGAAGTGCCGAGGTAAAATCATCGAAAAGCGAACATTTTTCGATATATTTTATATTTTATTCTAATAATATAAGACATGAAATATATGAAAAATCTCGTAAAATATTCACTTTTCGAGAAGTGCATTGTAATACTTTTGTACGTAGAATAACATGTGAAATTGATTGCTATGAAACAATTATATGATTTAGCTAACCAATCAAAAGGTTTCCCTCAATATCGCTTCTCTATTATCTAGGACCAGAGAGAAACTTGAGAACGGCTATCATATATATAATATTACCAGGGACTCGGATCGGACCGGAGCCAGAACCGAAAACCGTATGGAAACTGGTATTTTTGTCGGACCGAAACCATAAATCGTACCGAAATTTTATAAAGCCTATAGAATCGGAATCGGAACCATTAAATTTTTTTCGGTTTACGGTTTTGTCGGTTATTCTTATAACTTACTTCAAGAGCTTTTCAAAACACTATTATAAAATATTTTTGCATTAAATATTTTTCGAATTATAAGGCTTGAAAATTGCAGTACCATCGACATTAACATTACTCAATAAAAGCTTCAGTAAGGAAACAAATTTTAAAAATCGGAACTGAAAAAATCATAAATGGTACTTTCATTATCCAGAAAACCAGAACCGGACCGATATTTTCATTCGGTCCGGGTCCCTGTTAAAGACAAAAAAAATCCGAATTTAAATTATGTCTAGACAAATTATAATTATATACATAAAATAATTCTAAATTTGAAATCTAATAATTATATTGTTACGTCCCGAGATATGTCCCGAGACACGTCCGGAACTTCCACCCCCTTTTCTTTTTGTTCTTCCTCTTCGCTCTTCCTCTTCTCCTTTTCCTTCGCTCTTCTTTCGCCTTAGCGGTCGCCTGTTGACATCGTATCAAGCCCATTTTTGCACCTGAAATCAGTTATAATGTTTGTAGTTTCGACCGTATCATTTGTTAATTACCACATAGCTGTAGGAACGTAATAGTTAGCGAGTTTTTGCGCCTCAACCAATAATGTAATTATTTTTTAGAAATTCAACTCACTGTGAACCTTGACAGCCAGGCCGTATAACATGCACACGACCGATAGGATGACCAGGGCGCTTTTATTCATAGTCGGGTCGGTCAGTAGACTAGCATCCAACTTGTCAGAAGCTAACGGTACTTTGTTTAAATAATTCACACTTTTTACTTACCCTTTTTTGAATTTATTAATTTCAATTGAATTAGATCCGGCACGCATTAAATCCGGCACGCATTAGATCGTTACGCAGACTTACCTCCAAATTTTAAGCAAAATAAGGATCCCTTTAGAGATCGACCTTGAAAGCCCCGCACCTTACTAGCTTGCGAACGCTTAGTACACAGATGCATCAGCTGCGGCGTCTAACACCGCGCGCGGAGGTCAAGGGCCCGCGTCACCCTATTGTCAATAGAAAATTTATAACTCCCCTCATTTTTGCTACTGTATTAAAACGGAATGAATTTGGTAACTTCGCGTCTTCTGAATTTATTGCACTACCAATCATGCTTGGTGTATAATATGATTTTATATTATGCGATTTTCACGTATTATATGCGATTTAGATAAGCTAAAATTTTCCGCTCCGTAAGAACGGATGTACATGATCCGTCTCTCACCGAATCTCAGGAACATGAGAATTTCGTAGAACACCAAGTCCGTTGATGTTAGTACCAAAAATGCTGATCATTGCGACTACGAAAGAAAGAAGGAGACAGAAACAGACTTATAAGTAAGCATTTCGTCTTCACAGCAGTCAGTCAGTCTTGCCAGTCTTTTCCTCAGTCTTCGTCAAGAGCAGAAAATTTCCGTCACTAAAATCTGTGTTGTGTCTCGAGTCGGTACTCGCTTTCGATCGTCTCAACTTTCATAATTCAAACACCCGCTTGCGAAACGAATTCATCGAGTTTAAATTTATCAACAAGTGCTATATATTTTGCGAATCGTCTGCCTTATGGGGTACAAAATCTCTCTCTGCCAACTTGAGTTGCTTCAGCCAGGCCGCCTGTCTCTTTCTTTTCCTAAGGCGACGTACACCTTTCAACTCTTTACTATGGATTAACCGACATCAAGTGTAAGTCCACCTTTATAAGTCCATAATAATAACCGGTGTCAATAAATAAATACGACGTGGCGAAAAATTAATTGTCATCTCGAATGAAAATCTGTTTAAATTTTCATCGCGGGCTTAATAAATCACATTTTTGTTTATTTTTGATTGGTCATTGTCTTTCCTTAAATTAATTTAATTTTTCCTTATGCTCAAACTCATCCCATTGATCCCACATTAAATCTCGAAAATATCAACCTTTTCGCAACCTTCCCCCTCGATTTATCTATCTGCTCAGTGCAACGGAGCCAAGTCCGCTGCGCGTGTCGCGGGCTACTCGGGACGTGGCAATATAGATAAAAATAATTCTAAATTTTTATTGTGTTTTAAAATAATTTCAATTTGTATAATTAAAGTCATGTCTAAACATAATTTTAAATCGTCGAATAAAAATTATGTTGCGACAAAATTATATGATAACCATCAAATCAGGTTCAGTTTGAATTGACGCAGTTGAATATTTGGAAAAGTACTCTTGGGACATTGAACAAATGTGTAAGACGAATGTTGTGTAATTTTTATGAAGGCACATATGGTATATAGTAATATTATAATAGGGGTAATTTTAATAAATTTTTTTTCAATTCCCAAGTTCTTTACAATCTGTCTGTCATGACATTCAGTAACTTGTTTGTTCTTAATTAATTTGTGGAGGATAACCCACTGGTCAGCCTCCTTTAGTATTCTTCTTCTTAGAAGGTTCTGTTTATCTTTAAACGCATTATTATTTTTGTCTAGTATAATTAAGTGTTATTCTTTATGTATGTCATTTGTGTATACATTCAAAATCTATCTTTTAAGTTTATGTTTTGTTTTTGGTCTATGTTTTGTTTTTAGCCCGCGTCTTTTATTAGAGTTCAGAAATAAATTTCTCGCAAGACTGTTAAGGTGGGTTTTCAATTTTTTGTGATATGCTTTGCTATACCTTTTGATTTCTTCCTTGACAGAGCTTATTTTTAAACCATTGTTTATTATATCAGTAGTGACATACCGGGGCCTTTACAATCATTCTCAATGATTTGACTGAAATCTTTGCAGGATTTCTATATTAGAGATTGATGCTGTGTCCCACAGCTGTATCCCGTATATCCATATTAGCTTTAACACGTTCACGCCGGGGCTGATTTTCATGTTTTTCGCTGTGAGGTGGCGCTCGAATTCATGCTGCGCTTCATCTGGTGGCGCCAGATTATTTAAATTTTCAACTATACGACAATTTTTTCCAGTTACTAAACAAACTATATTTTTGATGGTGAGCGGCGTCTAAACGAATATTCAAGCGTGACCCACCGGTGATGCACGCCGCCCGATGGCTCATTATCGTGTGACCCACCGGTGATGCACGCCTCCAGATGGGACAGTCGAGCGTGACCCACCGGTGATGCACGCCGGCGTGAATGTGTTAATATTGCTTTATAGATTAATAAATTGTTTTCTGTTGATAGTCCTGACTTTCTGCCCATTATCCAGTACAAGTTTCTCAATTTGATGTTGCTTTTGCTTAGTGAATATAATTGCTTCGGTCCAAGGTAGCTTCACCATATGCCACAGTCAACATTCGGAATGTGTCCGCGCACTTAATTTTGTTTTTCACACAAAATTTGATACAGATTCTTTGATCCATTTTTTGGAATAGGCAAAAATCGAAGACGAGCCAAAACACGTCCAAGCAAAACATCTGTCAAAGATAAACTGAATATTCGAAATGGCCGAACTTGTCGGCATAAGTGAGGGACATGAGTACCAACATAATGCTACAAAAATTCGAAAATCGAATATACGTAACCCGCGGAAATTCAAAATTCACGATACTTTTTGAAGAGACCTCGTAAATCGCTGTATTCACCCAAGGTTTCAATAGAGAATCGTTGCCAGACGTTCGTAGCGTGCGCGTAATTGCTCTCGGATACCGTATCACCCGTCAACGAACTATAAAACGATTCTCGCGCTGGTAAACACGGGTCCTGCAGCTTGTCCATGCAATCAAGGTATTCATATGGAAAAACACCCTTTCGCGTCAATAAATCGAAATCGGATATATTTGAAAATGTGGACTGTAAAATTTTAAATTTTTCTTTGCCGAGAAAAGATGCTAATTTTTCGAGACTGGTATTTAGAAATTTATATGAATCGATGAATCGTAACTGTATGCAATTTCGTGAATCAGATTTTTTTCTGTATCTTGGACGTGCTTCGCAAATGATACATATTTTTCTTTTGTTATCGGCAGCACATTGATCGAGCCTTCAAATGCATTTGCTATTTCCATGATAATAAAATGTGAATCGAAGCCGGATAAATTATTGAAAACTATTGGAATGTAATATGAATGTTTATAATTTAAATTGCACTTTGAATGCGCGGGACCTCTGTACCGTCCGGTGAGATGGCAATGATCGCGTACGCGTGTATCCTCTTTCTCGATCTCTTTCTCGCACACGTGAGAAACAGTGCGTTGCGCTATTAAATGTTTCCAACTGTTCGTTTGATAAAGTTTCCATGAGGACATTTGTTGTGAAGACTAATCTTACGCGGTGCGCTAACTCTTCGAGTTGCTCGACGAACCACGAGACGCAATCACTATCGCGACGGCTTCGAAAATACGATAATGACTCATCATACGAGCAATGTAAATAATACGCTATGCTGAATACACTATGATGCTGATACGTGTGCGATTTGTGATCCTCTTCCTCCTCGCTCGCAGTCTTCTGTAAGATGCACTTCAGATCGGCGTACACGACAAACGGTAGACGCTCTTTCCTGTTGTTGTTGTCAAAACTGAGCCATTTGTCGTCCTCGCTAGGCAGCAGGATGGCGCAGTCATTCAT